ATTCCAAGCCCTCCGAGTAGTAAGAAGTCCAAGTAGTTCGGACCATGTCCCCCAACCTCACAATGGGTTAGAAACTACTACCGCGGCCACCAAAGAACTACCACGTCCCCCTACCTCAAAAGTAGTCCTCCTACCGGGAATCTCTCGCCACCAATATTTATCGGGATATCTCCCACCACCAATAATCATCTTAAACCTAAACTAAACCCGCGGTATTTATCGGTTAGTCACTTAAATTCACATCCATAAAAATCCCAATTCTTAGTCGTCCAAAATTGTACTCATTTAAAATTAACACTTTAATCACACTTTAAAATTAGTCACTTATTCTATTTTTCATAATTATTCACTTTTATGTTATTATTCCCTAAGCAAAATTATTCACTTTGTAGAGACCCTAAGCTGCACCGCCCTAACCTACCTATCCTAACGGAGCACTAAACGGCACCGCCCTAACATACCTACCTACCCTAACGGCGCCCCTAGCGGCACCGCCCTAACCTACCTACCCTAGCGGCGCCCCTAGCGGCACCGCCCTAACCTACCTACCTATCCTAAAGGCGACCTAAGCGGCACCGCCCTAACCTATCCTAGTAGCGCCCTAAGGGGCACTACCCTAGCCTACCTACCTAAGCCTAACGACGCCCTAAGTGGCGTCCTAAGCCTAACCTAAGGGCCGGCCCCAAAGGGGTTTGCCAGCCCAACCCAGCAGGACAGGACTGAGAAGCCCCGAGTCCCAAAAGGTGGGTGAATTAAGGAGCAACTGTACACTTGTATTTATAAGCACGGCAGGCGAGCCTTTAAGTTAGCTGTTTCGGTGTGGGAACAAATAGGCGAAGGAAAACTTCGGTTATGTATGTCTCCAGGCGGACAGTCACCTGCGCCTGCACCTGTCCCTCGATCTTCGTCTTTCCTTTCCTCTAAAACATCAATTTTGCGGCAACCATCCCCTTCTCCCCCAGTCCGTCCGAGCAGCGAGGACCTCAGCTTATTGCTTTCTGCACTCCGTCCCAGCAGCGCCAAGCACAACCAAGAGCTTCACCAGCCTCCTGTTTACAAGTTGATGACGACCTTCACATCGAACTCACATGGATGAGTCATTTCCTTTAGACATTATACTTTATTGTGCTTATGTATTCAATCGTAATTAGTCACCATTTGCTCCTGTTTTTAAACACCCTAAGTATTCTCTTTAAACCCCAAATTTATATCATTGGTTTTAGTACTTGACAATTTGTTTTAACATGAACAAATCTGCAAAAATCAGTAGGGTTTTGCTGCAGTTTTCTTCTACTAGTCGTAATAGTTTTTACAGTAGTGTACATACAAGCCAGTTTTGTTTTAAAATACTCTTTACTCTTCATCTCATTGCTAAACATATACGCAGTATCTTAAACAAATGTGTTTTTTATATTAGAAAAGCTATATTTATTTTACCATTGTTCCCGAAAATGCCAACCGCAAATACTTTCTTATGGCAGACATTTTATATACTAAGATATTTGTTTATGAAATATGTTTAACATTTTATATGTCTTGGTCTACTAAAGGTATGATGATGAAATTTTGCATGTATTCACATATCATAGAACTTATAACAAAGAAGTTTCTTTTAGTTCTGCCCTTTCATTAAGGTGGTTGGCTTAGTAAATTTAGCATTGGTAATGATTTGATTGCCCTGCTTTATAAGATTGAAATATTCATAGGAATTCTCAGCTTGAAGTTGCAATCGGAGGATTATTGGGAAGTTTGAGTCAAGCGAGTGGTCAGATTGGTGGGTGGTCTGGAAGTGATGTCTTCCTCCAAAAACTAAATCTCTGTTTTGGTGGACTGTCAAGTAAGGTGTGGCCTGTGTGGAGGGGGAGAGGAATCATTGCTGCATGTATTCCCCCGATGTCCCGAGAAGCTTAACAATCAGTAGGATGGTGCCTAATTAATGGTTGGGCAAACACCTTTTGGTTGTGGCTGCAACAGGTTTTGCAAACTAATTTAAGAGCATGGAGGAATTGCAGACCTTGGTGTGGGGTTGATTGGGATTGTGCACCAAGAGAAATCAGAGAGTTTGGACATAGGCGAGGCTAGGCGTTGCTTAATTAATTAATTATGATGAAGGCTAAAGCTTATGTGGTGGGATGGGTGCAGGCCAGAAAACGTGCAGCTAGGAGGTTTGTACGACTGACAGCAGACTCGAAAAAGATCAAAGTTGATGTTTCTACGGGTGGTTTGTGCTAAGCCTACGCTGGGTTGTCTGAGACGAGTTTGGGGAGTTTTTTGACTTTCCTGTTTTACCCTTTTCAAAAAGCATATTAAAGTTAGTGTTGCGTACAGTAAAAAGCAACCCACTACTCCGTATTACTCCATTCCAAATAAAGGTTGCGTATACATTATCAAAAGGTTACCTTTTGGCGGGGACTTTTCAACTCCCTCCAAAAGTCCAAACAAAAGATCTAACTATTCTATAAATTGCAAGTCATAGCCCTAAAATTCACCCTCACAACTTACAACAAAAATTACAAGAACGTGGAAAGTTCTGAAATTGTTTTGAAAGTTCAAAAAAAAGGCTTTCCAATGAAGCTAAGCAACATATCATGCAAGAACTTCTTGCGAACTCCACAGATGGTAAGCTGAAAAAAGGGGTGAAACATGCACTAGCTGCACAACATGAAATGTCACAAAGGTGTATCACACATATTTGGCAGCATATAAGGAAATGTCAACATGAGGGTTTACCAATAAATGTTGACAAAAAATGGCTGGAAAGGTAGGTAAGAATGCAGTAATAGCAGCTCCAGTTGACATTACAGCTATAGAACTACATCGAAGGAAGAGCATAAGAAGTCTGGCAAAGGCGGTGGGCATACCCTCAACAAATGTGCACAGACTCATCAAAAAGGTTTGATAAAAGTACACACAAATGCTATAAAACCATTTCTGACAGACTCAAATATGACAAAGAGGATGGAATGGATAATTTCACAAATTGTTCCACAGTCAATGACTTCTCATCCACAGTTTGAACCCATGTTCAATTGTGTGCATGTGGATGAGAAGTGGTTTTACATGACCCAAGTCTCACCGAGGTACTGTCTTGCCCCGGGTGAAAGAGGAGCCTTACAGAAGTTGTAAGTCCAAGAGATACATCACAAAAGTGATGTTTCTCTGTGCTGTTATTAGGCCTAGATTTTCTCCAGATTCTGAAGTGTTATTTGATGGGAAAATAGGTATTTTCCCATTCACTGAATTCCGGCCAGCTAAAAGGTATAGCAAAAATAGAGCACAAGATACAATAGAGGAAAAGGCAATAGACAGTGTGACTAAAGAAGTCTATAGAGAATGTTTACTCAGAAAGGTGCTCCCTGCCATCAAAGCCAAGTGGCCAATTGATGCATCTGGTCATATTTTTATCCAACAAGACAATGTCAAACCACACATACAGCCTAATGACAGTGAATTCATGGCAGAGGCTACTACTGAAGGTTTTAACATAAAACTAGCATGCCAACCACCAAATAGTCCTGATCTAAATATTCTGGAACTAGGTTTTTTAGGTCAGTTGAGTGCTTACAACAGGCCAATCGAAGTTCTACAGTTTCAGAGTTAGTAGCAGCAGTGACCAAGGCATATGATGAGTTTAGTCCCAAACTTAAACAAGGTGTGGCTATCACTACAGTTGTGTATGAAAGAGATATTAACTGTTAAAGGTAACAACAACTACAAAATACCTCACATAGGAAAGGACAGCTTACATGCTCAAGGGGAACTACCTATCTCAATTGGTGCAGACCCAACACTAGTGAGGGAAGTTATGGAGTTGTTGGTTAATGGTAGCACTCAGGCTTAGGTATAGTAGGTATTGGTACTAGTTTTTTGGTACAGACATGATCTGGCTTTTTTGCCTTTTGGTTTTTGGGTACAGACATGATCTAGTTTTTTTTTTTGGTTTTTGGGTACATACAGGTTCTTGATATTTTTGGTTTTCGGTACAGACAAGTTCTTGATATTTTTGGTTTTTGGGTAGTCACATGATCCTGGATTGGGCTACAAACAATGTACACATCAAAACACTGTCATCAGCTATATATGAAGGCATATTATCTTATTTTGACTCAGTATTTGGCACAATTTCATCACAGTAAATCATTCAGGCATATAGATAACATAGATTACCCCACCCAATCAGTCAACTGCTAAACCACATCCCTATTAGCCAATCAGTTAGGGCAGAGAGGTAGTTTGGTCAACATGAATTAGGCAGAGAGGCATATAGGCATCATAGATTGAGTATGAATTAGGTAGTTTGCTATCTCTTTCTACCTAATTCTAAAGCTCTCAAACTCTCACTTAACTCTCTCAAAAAACTTTCAAACATTACTACCGCACTCTCAACTTTCCTAATCCACCACTCCATAACTCAGAAATGGCTTCTCTTGTCCAAATTTCCAAATCCATCTTTACTGGATCCATCCTCAACACCCCCAAAATCCTTGAGAGGGCAAACAACAGTGACCTCATGAAGGAGCTCCTGAGAAAGCTAGAAACAACCGGGCTAATGAAAATGGCCACCTATCCATATCCCTGTTTCTATCCAGAAACCGTAGTAGAGTTCTACATCAACTCAACTTCTGGCACGTTAAAGTCAGTAGTTCTGGGGCGTGAAGTAGAAATCAACCAAGATGAAAATTAATTACAAACTATTTTTTCTTATTATTACACAATTTAAAGCGCAAAAAAAGGTTTAAAACGGCTGTAAAACTTACTCCCTCCGTTCATTAAAACGTTGTCATCTTTCCTTTTTGGGATGTCTCAAAAAACTTTGTCATTTTCCCTTTTAATCAATTATTTTGTGGTTTCTGTTTTTTCTCTCTCCTCTGCATAAATCTCAACCATACAGTTTTTACTTTATTATTCTCCGTGTCGATCAAATTTGGAAAAATTTTAAGGGAGAGAGGTAGTATTATAGTCCTATTCTTGTAATTTACTACGATCTCCCATGTTTTTGTCAAAACACAGCGGGCGAACCCTAAATTCATCTGTTGAACAGTGTACTGATTTTTCTCAGCATTTGTTGTCAATTTCAATCCATTAGCTGTCAAAACTTCTTAATTATTACTACTTCGTACGCCATTTGCATTGATCTTTTGAAATACTCCGTAGCTTTTAATGATAAAAATTCTGACTTGTCCCCATTGTTTTCAACCGCGTCTGGCGGCACAAAACGCGGTGGCGCCCATAGCTGTAATAGTTTGAGGACGAAGAAGAAGCGGTGACGCACTTACCTTATTTTGGAGTGAAAACGAAAAAACATCTGAAATTTTATGGGCGGTCTGAATCTGCCGAAACACAGCAAGCATATGTTTTTCGAGGTTCATGGAAGCATGGTCGAATTCAAAAGATGAATCGACACTTTATGAAGCTGAAATAAACCATACTTCAAATTGGGGTTTTGAATTTTTTTCTATGCTAGGAGTAGAAGATTGGGTTTTTGATGGCTGTAAGAAGAAGCTCAGGGTCATGTTTGACCAAATACTAATATCCTTTCTTAATGATGTATCTAAAAACAGATGCTTTAGGCCTCTCCCCGTAATGAATGGCTGTGGGCATGAAGTGGATTTGTTCAAACTGTACAGTATAGTTAGAAGAATTGGTGGGTATAATTCTGTTTCTAAGGAAAACTTGTGGGGTTATGTTTCAGAGCAATGCGGGTTGGATTTTAGGGAAATGTCGTTTGTGAAGCTGATTTACATCAAGTATTTGAATGATTTTGATCAATGGATTGGAGAGCAATGCAGAGATAGTGCTTTGGAGAAAGTAGAAAGTGGATTGGTTAGGCGACTTGAACTAATGTCTAGAGAGTTCAAGGTTAGGTTTGGAAACATGTCCAGTAATGATTCTAATCAGAAAACTGCTCAGATTAATCAAAAGAATTCAGTCATGAAGAATGGTGGGCGGGAGGTACTCACTGATGTTGAAATTGGTAGTGTATGTGATTATTATGTGGAATCAACCGAGAGGTTAGCTGTAAATAATATTCAAAAGAATAGACTCTTTATTAAAAATACTAATGGAGAAAGTGTTACTGACTCTACTGCATCATCTCCCAATATGAGTGTTCAGAAAGTTGTCAATTCGGTTGCAGATTATCCACAAGAAGAATTTGTTGGTTGCATAAAAGGGTCTGCTAAAGACAACGGTGACGTTGCTACCACAGCCAAAAACTATACTGGGAAACTCAATGAAGTGAATACATTGAAGAGAAAATTGACACCTTCGTATTTCTCGGAAATTCTTGATTGGGTGACCAGTGCAGCAAAACATTGCGATAGTCCTGAAATTTTGAAGATTCCTGATTTGTCCCAGTGGAAGGATCATAGCATAAATGACTCGACCCAGATTTTGTTGATTAGACAAGTTCTACTGAACAAAAATCATTTTAGTTCAAATTCTGAAGAGTCTGCTCCCCAGGTTAGCCTTTGGTATTTCTACCCCCCATCTTTATATATTGACATTTTTTTAGGTTAATGAATATATTCCATAGCATGAAATGCGGGCATTGCTGCAGTAAGTACAGTACTGTTGACACATTTGAGTAGTTTGCGTATTCAGATCTTTTTAGGTTGTGTTTATTGAAAATGTACCTGAATGAGTAAAGTAATAAAGTAAGCAGAGTTATCACTTATCAGGACCAGAGAATTTGAGTTGGCTAGTGATCCCTTCATAAACTCTTCCTCTGACATGCATAGATTTTCGTATTATAATACTCCGTACTCCGTATGTCCTAATAAAACACAGATGTACTTCATTGTCTTCTGAAAAATGATTCATCTGACAAAGCAGAATGGTTTGGTTCTTGTATATTACTAACCTTAACAATATCGAACTTGGCCAATTTTTGTAGCTAAACCCTTATTTTTATTGTATTCGGACATACTATCTCCGTCCCTTAAAACTTTGCCAAGTTTGACCGGCACGGGGAATAATAAAGTAAAAACTGTGTGGTTGAGGTTTGTATAGAGGAGAGAGGAGAGAAAATTAACTGGAACCACAAATTCTTTACTTAAAAGGGAAAGTGGCAAAGTTAGTGGGACATCCAAAAAAGGAAAGCTGGCAAACTTTTAAGGGACAGGGGAAGTATTCTATAGTCTTGACATACATTTAGTTCTCCTCTTCAGTCTTCTCACATGGAATCAGAATCTTTTCCTCTGACATGCATAGATTTTAGTTTTTTTTGACAAAATGGCATATATACGTGGAAGCATCTGCCTTCTTCGGCAATCAGAGACTTTTAGTTATATGTTTTCATCCTTTGCCTTCATTGACTAGAAATCCTATAAACAAACAAGAATGCTTCAATGAGTTCAATTTTTCTTAGTAGTGTTTTTAGAACCAAAATGGACTTGGAGGGTCCGCTGTGAATTACTAGCACATACTGTCCGACTAGTCCACTATGATCGGGAATCTGATTTTACCTCAAAAGCTGCTGCCGAGTGCCAAATGAGAACACTGGTGGTACTGGGAAACCGGATGCTTTATTCTTACCGGTCGTTTACTTTTTTAAACAATAAAGAAAAGCAAAGAACAAAAATATGCTGTTCATTTCTTTTTACCAGCATCATAGCACACTTTAAATGCCAATTTTTAGAAATTTGTCATATCCTTTTCGGATTTATCACGTGAACTTCAGAAACTTGTGAATAGATTTTGGAGGGAAAAAGGAGTCAAAATTTGAGAATTCGGGTCCTCACTAGAAAATCAAGTGGTTTTGGATCAAAATTGTTTCTACGGTCACTTTGGGCTAAGATAAATTCTATATTTTGGAAAATGGAAATCACATTAAAGAGTAAAGATTAAACATGTGAAAGAAATCAAAGAAAGAAGGATGAGATCAAGACAGTTCGGTTTGCTTCTTTAGTTTTTCTTTGTAATGGAATGATGAATACTGTGGTTATGGTGAATGGAATGGTTTAATGTATTTTGTTTAATGTATTTCAGTTTCAGTACATGTTTGACATGTAAATGTTTGCTATTTTTTTAGTAGAACTGTATTGTTGCATGTATGTTTTCTATGTGGTCATGCCAACATTGTGTCCAAAGAAATTGTTTTTATCAGACTCATCTGCCATGTTATGCCATGCTACTTTGCTAAGTTTCAAGTGTGTGCGCCCTGTTTGAAGAGTGAACAATATGAGTGTGATAATACCATGCATTGTAAACATCATCCAAAGCAGTTTAACGGCATGCTACTTTGCTAAGTTTGAAGTGTATGCACTATGCCCACTTGCATTGTTACAGCATTGTAAACAAAATCCAAAGTGTATGGCCAAATGCTAATTCATAATAGCATTCTTACAGCATTGTAAACAAAATCCAAAGTGTATGCCCAGATGCTACATACAACATTCAAAGCAGCATTCAAAATACCAGCATTCATACAACATTGTAATAGCATCATTACAGCATTGTAAACACAATCCAAAGCAGCATTCATACAACATGATACCAGCATTGTAAACAAAATAAAATGGCACACATAAGTTCAAAATACCAGCATTATAAACACAATCCAAAGCAGCATTCATATAACAAAAACTCATTAAGTTCAAAATACACATTCAGCAAAAGGAAGAGCTTAACTCAAATATTCCTACGCCTTTAACACCACCATTACATAATTCCAAAAGGTTTTCCAAATTACAGACTTAACAAAATAAACAATCAACAGATTATTGCATTTCTTTGTCCAAGCCGCCTCTTCCTCCCCTCTTAGGTCTACCCCTTTCTCCACTTGCAACACTCCCTCTTCCTCCCCTCTTAGGTCTACACCTTTGACCTCTTCCACTTTCAGCACCTCTTGTATGCCCTTGGTTTTCTTCTACCCCACTCTGTTCTGGGATGGGTATATTCCTTTGTGAACATGATTTCTTATTGTGCCCGTCCACTTTACAGATAGAACATTTCATGTTTCTTCCTTTTCTTGGTAGTTGAGACCCTGATGGTGCACGAGGTTCACTTTCTTCTCTCACTCTTTTCTTCTTAGGGCGCCCACTCATTTTCTTTGCAATGGGAGGAAGAATCTCTTCATGCTGAGTTCTTGGCCAGAGTAATTCTCCATTTATTGGCTGCAGTGTGTTTGAGTATGTTTTCTCATAGAGTTCCTTGGAGTACCAAGAGTCCACATAGCTTTCAGGTTCCTCACCTTTATCAAGAATAGCACAAATGGCATGTGCACAGGGAATTCCACTTAGATTCCATCTTCTGAAAGCACAAGTTTTTTTTGTTCAGGCTCACCTTGTATTGATATCTGCCTTTTTTGATCTCATATCCATCATCCCCATTGAAATCAACATGCCAGCCTTGACTAGCTAATATATTTTTCTTCAATTTCTTCATTATGTGGGGACCAAATGCACCTGCACAACATGATTGGACCACTAAATTATTGTAAAGCAAGTTGATATGGCAAACATGGTTCAGATAAGTTAAAAGACAATAAATTACATTCAGAATCATCACCTGGCCACTTCCTCACATTCTTTCTTTTTTTAGCTATTCTTTTAATCATAGCCACTCTCATTCCCTCTAGCACTGGGACAAGGGGTTTGTCTCTGAGTTGAACAATAGTGCTGTTAAATGCCTCAGACAAATTGTTATCTACAGTATCACACTTTACCTCAGTCCTAAAATAATCCTTGCACCATAGCTTTAGTGGGTACTTGCGCAAGTCAGTACCTGCTTGAGGGTCAAGCTTATCTGACTCATTCAAACTAGCCTCCAACTGCCCTTCAGAAGTGGCCTTTGCACATTGTCATAACAATTTCTTAAGCACCGATCCTCTGTGATTTTTGTCCCAGTTCGCATGTATATGCCTAGCACAATTCCTGTGCTCAGCATCTGGGAGAACATTTGCAATAACATTGGACAGTCCCTATATCAATTTAAATGTTGAAAATACTTAGTACAAGACAAAAATACACAATGAAGCATTGAATATATGTACTTACAAGAAAACTTACTTTCTGTTGATCACTTATTATGGTCCATTCAGCCGGGTTGTTGATCTGCAGGTCTTCCTTCAGAAGGTGTAAAAACCAACTCCATGAAGAATTGTTTTCTATTTCTACTATTGCCCAAGCAATCGGGTACATTTGATTATTCGCATCTCTTCCCACAACACTTAAAATCTCCCCCTTCAACTGTCCTCTTAGAAAGCAACCATCCAACCCAATAACCTTCCTACAGCCTTCCAAACCCCCCTTCTTAACCTGTCCAAAACACATATAAATCCTTTGAAATACTGATGGTCACGGATAGGGTAAAATGGTAAAAGTCTAGAGGGGGGTGAATAGACTTTTAAATCTTTTTCGACTTTTAAAAGTTTTCCCTCTAAAAGAGTTGATCTATATACTTTTGGGAAATTTATAGACGCACAACGGAATTCTTTACCCTTTATGTAATGAGTGTTTAGCCACTTTCTGACTTGGAGAGTATTTGGCTTAGAATGCTAACAGTTGGTTTAGCAGGTGGCTAAGAGCAGGGAACTGCTGAGGCAACTGCTCAAGAAATGCAGAGTATATGATGATGTCATATACCGACTAATTATTGGGAGGGGAAATTATCCATACATTTGAAGTGAGCAGAAGTGGCGGTCAAAGGATAGGCTGAATTATCACATGGGCCGTTATTTAAATATCTTTATATATATTCAGTATTTGTTTTCCTACTAAATGTAATGGGCCTTAGTTATGTTATACCTAGTACAATTTAAATACTGATTGCATGGACAAGAAAAGGAAGGCATTATGATATACAATTATCTCCCCTTAAGCTCTCCCTCTTTTCCCCGATTCTCCCTTATTCTTTTCTGATCTTCTTCCAGATCTTTCGGAATTATCCAGTTCATCACATCTGGTATCAGAGCTGCCACGATCCAGGAAGATGGCAGAGGGAACACGCCTCAAGGATTGCTTGGATGGACAGAAACGACTGGAGCAGTCCCTATTGGCAGAAACCTTGAAGAGAGAAGCGGCTGAGCAAAAAAATGGGGAAATCCAGCTTAGGAATCAAGAGATTCAACATGAAATCCTCAAACAACTGGAGATTATACAGAAGAAGATGGAAATGATAGAGTTAAGATCTGAACCCACGCTGAATAACTCACCTCTAGCACAGTCCAACTCAACACCCCACAACCATGATCATGATCCAGTAATAGAAGTGGAATCAATACTGGGAGAACCACCTACTAATCTCAACCTGCAACATGTATCAACGGGTAGATATCAACAGAGAAATAAGAGCAATGAAGTTACAGGTAACTATCTTACGAAAGCACCCCTCCCCAAGGTTGATTTTCCCAGATTTGATGGAACCAACCCGCGATCATGGATCGTGAAATGTCAGGGTTATTTTAAACTTCTGCCACACCTATCTACGGAACAAAGGATCATTATGGCCATTATGCACTTCGAGGGTAAAGCACTGACCTGGTATCAGTATTTGGACAAAGACCTAACTATGCTCACCTGGGAACAGTTCATGGGGGTGGTATCTGCCAGATTTGAGGGGCTTAAGGCATCATCTGTCATTGAGGAATTCAACAAGCTTAGGATGGGATCAGATTATGAATTATATGTAGACAAGTTTGAAGAATTAAAATCATGCATGCAGATGATACATAAGGGAGCATTAACTGAACATTATTTTATATCCAGTTTCATAAGCGGGCTCACTGATGAATTAAAAGCATTTGTCAAGATGTTTAACCCCTCTACATTAGATGCAACTATTGAATTAGTCAAAAATCAGCTGAGGACTATTGAGTCACTTACAAAAAGACTCAAGGTAGGTGGAAAACCTTTGTATGAAAGTAACTTGGGTGCTAAGAAATCAGACAACATCACTCCTGTCACTACTCAATCAAGGGTCAATTCTGCTACCACCCAACCTCCCTTCAAACTTCTTACCCAGTCTGAAATGGCAGCAAGGAGGGAGAAGGGGTTGTGTTTTAACTGTGATGAAAAGTTTTCATCAGGGCATAGGTGTATACAGAGGCAAGTGTTTGTTCTATTGACCGAAGATGACCCGGGCCCACCAGCTTCAGAAAATTCAGAAAAACAGAGTATGGGAAACATCCAGGAGGAGGCAATAGAAGAAGTCCTGTTAACCTTAGATACTGCAACCTGCAAAAAAGGACCCACCACAATGACTCTTAAAGGAAGGGCTAGGAAACATTGCATGCATATATTGATTGACTCAGGGGGCATCCCTTAGCTTCATGAGCAAATCGGTATCCCAGAAATTAGGATGTGAGCTGGTTGAAGCTACTCCCCTGAGAATTTGAGTCAACTGCCTTTCCATCCTTTGATTTGGATGACTCACCTTCATCTTTTACTTGAGCAATGGGGTGGTTTTCAAATACCACATGGATTGATTCTTCTACCACCAGAGTTCTTTTGTTGAGAATCCGAAATGCCTTGCTAGTTGTTGAGTAGCCCAGGAAGATCCCTTCATCAGATTTGGGATCAAATGGCTTGAGATAGTCTTTTCCATTGTTTAGGATATAGCATTTGGATCCAAACACATGGAAATGACTAACATTAGGCTTCCTTTCTTTCCATAGCTCATATGGTGTCTTCTTGTGAATCTTATGAATAAGACTTCTATTTTGAGTGTAGCAAACCGTGTTGATTGCTTCTGCCCAAAATCTTTTGGGTAATCCAGCTGCTTCTAAAATTGTCCTTTCTGCTTCCTTGAGTGTCATGTTTCTTCTTTCAGCAACACCATTTTGTTGAGGTGTTCTTGCTGCTGAGGTTTGATGATGGATTCCATTTTCTTCACAGTACTGAATTATGATGGAGTTGAGAAATTCAGTACCTCTATCTCACCTAATCTTCTGGATTGAGAGACTTTTCTCATTTTGAATTAGCCTCATCAATTCAGGCAGTT